ATTTTGCTTGAATAAGGATAATAATTATAAGTGAACCTGGCCACATGTTCACGAAAATAAATTTCTGATTTGCAAAGAAACCAACCTATTTTGGGATAAGATCAACGAATAACAAAATAAATACAAAAATAATCTGATCAAAATAACGGTCAATTTTTGGATCAACAGTATAATAACTGCATCTTGCAAAAATAACAAAATACAGTTATTCTGAAATTTAATAAAAATGCCATTTCAAGTGTAATTTTTATATAGTTTATATTAAATATTTAATCTATGATCCTGATTCCTTAAATCTTTGTTAACATCATGGGGCCTTAATTTCAAATTTGATTGGATTGCTGACCGTGTAGGTTCAAACCTTGTCAGGGGCAATGCCATTCTTTCCTTGAGCGAAACTTTACATTCATTGCGTAGTACTGGTTGGATACAGGAACGGATTCAAGAGTGTTGAAGCTTATAGCTCATAGCTTCCAACACAATCAAACTAAAATAAATTTGTATAAACTAAATCCTGATGCCCTCCTATTGAGTTAAGCTTTGAAATAAAAAAATAAGCAAACTAGATATCATTAAAAAGGAATTAAATCAACTAAACATACATTCCAGGACCTCCGCAGTAACAGTATGTAGCCTCCAGGTTATTTTTATGTTGTTGGTCCCAAGTCAATGTTTCCAGGTTGTAGGGTAATTCTAGCTTCATCTTGGTCATTTCGTCATCTGAATACAACATAAATGAGCCGCGTCATGACAAAACCAACGTAATGCGTTGGCGACCAGCATGGATCCAGACCAGCCTGCGCATTCGCGCAGTCTGATCAGGATCCATGCTGTTCGCAATCAGTTTCTGTACTTATAATAGGGTTGGTAAGCCGAGCAGCATGGATCCTGATCCAGCAGCATGGAAGGCCGAAGCGCAGGCTGGTCTGGATCCATGCTGGTTGCAAACCCATTATGTTGGTTTTGTCATGGCGCGGCTCATATATATATATATATATATATATAGATTATGCCCCATGCTTAGTTAATAATATCTGTCACATATTGCGGTTCAGACCGGAATATCCGTCCTGAGGTAACGATGCTAGCAGAGTTATCTCCCATTGACAGGTTTCCAAGGGACGGATATTCCGATCCAAACTGCAAACATAATTATGTCAGATATTTTTTCTTGCATATTCTGCCATATTATTTCATATCTAAAATGATTTACCTCAATATGATATAATATGTGCATGGAAATTAAAGTCATTTCATCCATAACTTTTTTCTTACAATAGCGTATGAAGTTACAACTTAAATAACAACGGCGAAATGATGTCATCCTAAGCACATATTTCCCTTCTAAAACAACATCATTTTAAAACAGTTCATTCATAACGTGCGCTAAAATGACGTTGCTGTTTGGCACACGATTCATCTGGAACCCCTCATGCCAGATGAAATTTCCGGCATGGGTAAATCTCACGGAAAGACCAGTTTGCTATGCAAGAAACTACAATAAGGGCCTAGAAAATGTATAAATTTACACGGGTCAATTGTAGTTATAGGGGTCTTTGAAAATGACCTAGAAGAACGATACTGCAGACATTGATCTCAAGCTTTCAGTTAAAAGTCAATTCAAGAGTGAGTAGGTTATTTATCAAATAAGGACACTGTCAGACGAAAATTGACTTTTACAAATTGTTTCAATAATATGCTTTTTCTTTCACAATTTTAAGGAAAATAATGCTAAAATTTTTTAATTTAAAAAAAAAATTGTGCTGCTTTACAAATAAAAAAAAAACCCTTAAAAATGTTTGTTACAAAAGCTAACCATTTTCTGTTCCAGCAGTTTAAGGGGTAAACCAAACTATACAGTGTTTTGTACATGACAAAATTGAGAATAAAATATTAAAGTTTTACCTAATTGTAGTTCTTTGTCAGTCTTGCCAGCCCCACTTGAGACAAGAAAGAAGACACACGTCCTACAATACCACGGCTCGTCGGGGTCAACAATCTTTCCACAGCCGATATTAGGATTGTGACATTGTTGATGAAAACCTGTATTACATAACTTCTTGAGTTTAAATGATGGTTTGAAACTAGTATTACATAACGAATTTCGTGTGTTTAAATGATGGTTTGAAATTGATGGTTTAAAATAAATTAATACATAGAGGATATTGAATGAGTGTAAGTTCAATACTGAATTTATTGCACGAGTTGAATAAAATTATATTATGCGAGCCTCTGGCGAGCATATTATTTTATTCAACGAGTGCAATAAATTCAATAATGAACTCACACGAATTTATTATTCTATTTATCACATACCCAAATAAAGACCGTTTTAAGTGAAATAAGAGTCATTTTTCATTGACGCGCATGTAGTATAACGCCGACATTTAGCGTGTCTTTTCACTTTGTTTGTATAACGCTAATGACATCACGTCGAAATATATGCTCATCCGTGCAATAACCATATTTACGGAGTCGCAAAATTGGCACGGGTGTGTGATAAACTAGAAATGTGTCCATTTCAGTTGAACCCACCATACAATACAGATGACTCCACCACTAAAATCAAACAAAGAAACAGCTTAAACAAATCTTTTAAAAGAAAATTTAAAAATAAATTAAGTTTTTTCCTTTTTTTCAATTTAAACAGGTCTGTCAAGTCACACTTGTTGTCTTGTCTAAGTATCAATCATTTAAATAAATACATGACAAAGTTAACAAAATATAAGGAAAATTCAATCCTTTGACCACTGTTTATTCTAGAATTCGAAAAACAGGGGGGATTTTTATCGAAAAATGAGAATTGATTACATTTGTTGATCTTTTTCCTTCTTTGTCTATGTAAAATTCCCCCTTCCTCTCAGAAAATAGGGGTGATTTCTCAAAAATAGGGGTGATTTCTCAAAAATAGGGGTGAATCCCCCCCTCGCCCCTCCTAGAATAGACACAGTTTGACAGTCAATATCATTTAAAGTTCATTACTAAATTATACAACATATCCATTTGGTCACAAGTGTTGTTTTGTCCACATACAAATCAAATATGAGCATAAATAATACCATTATGACAATTTAACCAAAATTAAATAATTTGACCTTAAGGGTAAGTCATTTAAAGCCAAAGGTCAGTTCAAACTTTTAGAAGGACTTGTCCAAATATGGAGATAATCCATCTGTTAATTGCCATGTTACAGTCAATTTTAACAAAAATTCAGAGAAAATTCAAAAATTTAACCTGCAAGGTCAAGGTCATGAATGAGCCAAGGTCAATTTGGGTTTGATATACAAAAATGTCTAATAATCCTTGTTTGATTGTCGATTGTTGTCTAAATATGAAGTCAATCCATTATTTGATATCAGGAAACTACCTGCCTATATGACTGAAATACTGTTGGAAAAAGGCGTAAAATGAAACAAACAAACAAACAAAATTATAGCCAGTTACAAGGCTCAAGGTCATTTATGAATGAAGGTCTGTCTGCTAAACTTTAAGGTCTATCCTAAAAGATTGTTGTGTTCAAGTTTGTATACAATTCATTCAAAGATAACAAAGTTATAGCCACTTATAGTAAAAATCAGAAAAAAAAATTAAGCAAAATTTAGACATTTGACGTTGAAGGACAAGGTCATTTATGAATGAAGGTCAAGTTTAGTCCGACCTCTTTCAAGGTCTTGTTTCAAGGGTTGTTGTGGCCAAGTACTAAGACAATATACCAAAGAGTTATGATCAAGGTATAAGTTTGCAGAACACCATCATGAAAAATGCTGTTTTACATACATTATGTGTACATACCTTGCAGACAATATTCACAGAGGACAATCTCGTTAGGTGGCTCAGACACATCACTCAAACATATACAGCAGGTCATTTCCTCCTCCTTTAATACTGTAAATTAAAAGATGTCAAGTTCAAACATATACAGCAAGTCATTTCCTCCTCCTTTAATACTGTAAATGAAAAGATGGCAAGTTCAAACATATACAGCAAGTCATTTCCTCCTCCTTTAATACTGTAAATGAAAAGATGGCAAGTTGAAACATATACAGCAAGTCATTTCCTCCTCCTTTAATACTGTAAATGAAAAGATTGCAAGTTCAAACATATACAGCAGGTCATTTCCTCCTCCTTTAATACTGTAAATGAAAAGATTGCAAGTTCAAACATATACAGCAAGTCATTTCCTCCTCCTTTAAACCTGTAAATGAAAAGATTGCAAGTTCAAACATATACAGCAGGTCATTTCCTCCTCCTTTAATACTGTAAATGAAAAGATGTCAAGTTCAAACATATACAGCAAGTCATTTCCTCCTCCTTTAATACTGTAAATTAAAAGATGTCAAGTTCAACATTTTCAATTAAAAACTATCAGCACATATAAACACTAGAAATAAGATTTTTCACATTTTCTTCTTCTTTTTTTCTTCCTTTATTTTGATTGGGTTTTACACGGCACAAGTCATGTCAATATTGTCGTAACAACTTTCTGTTTTACCTGTGGAGAAAACTTCAAGAGCCTCTATACATTATTTCAGGCACTAACAGGCATCTGAGTAGAACCAATGATGCTCTTTAAGCTAGGTGGATAACTTCCTCACATGAACGACTCCAAAGTCCTTGGCAAGACTCAAACCTTCTGCTGTAAGTTTTGTTTGGCTTTACGGAGCCCCTACCTCTATGTATATCTTTGAACAATCAGTAACAAACTTACCTCTATGTTTATCTTAACAATTTGTAACAAACTTACCTCTATGTTTATCTTTGAACAATCAGTAACAAACTTACCTCTATGTATATCTTTGAACAATCAGTAACAAGCTTACCTCTATGTATATCTTTGAACAATTTGTAACAAGCTTACCTCTATGTATATCTTTGAACAATTTGTAACAAACTTACCTCTATGTATATCTTTGAACAATTTGTAACAAGCTTACCTCTATGTATATCTTTGAACAATTTGTAACAAGCTTACCTCTATGTATATCTTTGAACAATGACCAGTACTCTGATTTATCTTCATATCTCAACAAACACTTCTTCGATCGGTCATCAATCTGAAATATATGTTGAGTTAAATTTCAAGTAGACAACATCAAGTTCAAATGCTGAATTGTTTATCTCTAGATTATTCAAGCTACTGCTTTTGGTACTTAAACATGCCTTCATCAGAATTCAAATATGATTGTTTAAATCTGACATATTGTTAGAAATGCCAACTTTAGGCCCTAGAAAAAATATGCAGTAATTATGTTCCAGACAAAGGGATTTTCAAAAATTTTGAAATTATCTTTGACAAACTATGCCATCTGCCACTATATAAAACAGAACTAGTAACTTTTTTTTGGTTGGGTTTTTAAGTCACATGGTCATATGCCAATTTTCCAGCTTAATTGCTGCAGGAATAGCTCAGGTGTCTCTTTGTATATGATATCAAGCACAGACAGGCAATTGAGTAGAACCATTGACATTGGACAGCTTGGTAGTTTTCTCACATAAAAGATTCTGAAGAAGCTGGTGTCGCTCACACCTACACAGAGAGAGACAATGGGCTTAAAGTCAACAACTTTAACCTCCTGACCATGACCAAACTACAAGTCAGTGATCAAACCAATCTCTAGTTAATACTGAGAGGAAACAGTTTTCACTATATCAAAGTCACTCTGACCTTGACCTTTCACATGGACCCCCAAAAATCAAAAGGGGTCTTCTTCTCAGTGTGGGTGATATTCCTATAAAATTTGAAAGCTGTTGGTCAAATAGTTCTCTAGTTGTCTAGCAGAAACATTGTTCTTATTAAAGGTCACTTTACCTTGACCTTCAAGCATGGGCACCCAAAATCAACAAGAGAGCCGTGATTGCTTACCAGAAACAATTGTTTTTTCAGTGTCAGAAATAGTTTTTCAAATGAACTTGCCTTAAAGGCATGTCCCCCTCAATTTCAAATTGCCCATATATTTATATAGTTTTCCCCAACACTGATTGTTCTTTTTCTTCTAAAAATGTTATGTATAGACAAAGTTTGATCATCCATCAATTAGTTTAGCAGATAATGATGTTTAAAGGGTTTTCTATTTTTAGCTCTAGAGGCCCCTAAAGGGGCCCAATCAAATGAGTAAATTTGATAATAGACTACCTAAGAATGCTACAGACAAAGTTTGTTGGTCATCAATTAGCTCAGTAGAAGAGGATGTTTCTCTACTTTTTTTTAGCTCTTAACAAATAAATTTGAACAAATTTGATAACAGACCATCTAATAATGCAACATACAAAGTTCGGTGATCATCCGTCAATTAGTTCAGTGAAAGATGTTAGAAAAGTTTTTCTATTTTTAGCCAATTAGAACAAATTTGATGACAGACAATCTAGGAATGCTACTGACTAAGTTTACTGACTAAGTTTGTTGATCATCCATCAATAAGTTCAGTAGAAAAAGATATTTTAAGGATTTTCTATTCTTAGCTCTGTTGACCCCTAAAAGGGGCCAAATTGAAATGATATGAGCAAATTAAAGTGTGACTGTCACAAAGATGCTAGGGACCAAATTTGAAGTACATTTTGCCCAGAAGTTTCAGGGAAGACGACGAATGTTGACACATGGCGACAGGCACCGGAACATAAACCCTTTGATACTAATAGCTCCACCAAAGGTTTTGGTGAGCAAATAAGGGTTTTCTACTCAGTGCGGGTTGATCAACCTATGAATTCAAAGGCTCTGGTTCAATAGGTTCTACACTTATTGATCGGAAACGAAATGGTCTATTGGCGGACTGACCAACATTTGCACAACAATAGACACCCTTTTCTTTGAAAAGGGGGCATGGAAAATTTATATTTTGTTTGTTTGTTTGATTTGGTTTTACGTCACAACAACACAGTATAGGTCATATGGCGATGTTCCAGCTTTCCTGGTGGAGGAATACCTCAGGTGCCCTTCTGTGCATTTTTTCATGCACGAACGGGCACTGAGTGACCAACCGACGTTCGCAAGCTACTGATAGCTCCGTAAACACGAAAGAATCACAAGTCCCGCACGATTCGAACCCAAAATGAGGGGAAAAGTGTGGTTGAAAAGTCAAAGAAAATTTATATAAAAGTGTGAAGAACACATGTTAACCATTAGATCTAATAGAATGTTTAAGCTCAAAGCATTTCAGATGTTTATCTCATTGATACAATTAACACATATTGTACTTTACCCGAAGTATATTCCCAAGATAGTATAGTCCGTCATGCCATCTAGCGAGCACTTCATCATTACGTGAGAATAAGTATTTTTTCTTTTTACTTATCTTCTTGACCTTCGTACCACCTCCTGTACACACAGGTGTTGTACACGGAGACTTCGTAGGTGACGAACAAGGAGTACTGTTCGGCGTAAGGATTTCGGATTTGATCGGAGACATATTTGGGGTGCTTGATCTAGACGACCTGCGGGAAGTTCGACTATCTGATCTAGATGGAGTTAAAGACACTTTTCCATGAGATGTTTCCTTACATTTAGCACTCGTGTTGCGTCTCAACATATTTACAGTTTCTTCGAGGCTTTTTTTGCCTTTAATCTTGCTTAATTGTTCATTCTTATTCTTAGCTGTCACAGTGGCTTTACTATAGCATTGTTCCTCCACTTTCTTCAAATTTTCACTTGCTTCAACAGGAAGTGTTTTAGGACGCTCTAATGGCTTGTTAAAACTTGATGATAATTTACTGTCAGATTGAATAAAGACAGGTGTATGTAATGCTGTTGTTGCTGGGTTCCCTGGTAAATAAAAATATCATTAAATTAATAATATAAGAATCAGTAATACAATTGTACAAAATTCACAGCTTAAATAACATTCATTTTTTATATATATTTTTTTTCCTTTAAAAAAAGTGACACTTTAGTTTTCCTACCTAATTTTGGAAACCTTAACCTTGATCCCCACTGACCCCAAATTCCAACTAAGGCAATCACTTTAAAGGTGATTCATTCCACCACCAACAACCTAAACCTTTTGAAAAATAAGTTGTCTAACTTGACCAATTAGCCGTGATGTTTAATCTGTGTACGAATAATTATTACAATCAATTGCCTATCTCCAGAAAATATTTCTCTATTTTCAGTTACGGTGACCTTGACCTTAAACCTAAGGGGTACAACAATATGCTCAAGCTAAGTCTATTCATAAGCTTGCTAAGTGCCGAGTTTCATTAAAATAACTCATTTTTTATTCGAGTTATCAACCAGAAAACATTTTACTACTTTTAGTAATGTTAAAACAGTTCAGTGACATTGACCTTGACTTAGGAGGTCCAAAAGCAATTCCAAGCAAGGTGTCAAAATATGCTTGCTAAATCCCAAGTTTGATTATAATATCTCATTGTGACTCTAGTTATCATCATTCTGGAAACCATTTTTCTATTTTTAGTAACAGAGACCTTGACCCTAGGGCGTCAAACAACAATCCCAACTGGGGTTTCTAAATAAGGTTGTTATAAACAAAGTTTGATTTACAATAATTTATTACTAACTTTGTTGTCTGGAAACCATTTTTTCTATTTCTAGTAATGGTGACCTGGACCTTGACCCCAAGGGTTCAAAAGCAATACCAACTGGGGTTTCCATATAAGGTTGCTATATACCAAGTTTGATTACAATAACTCATTCCAAACTCTAGTTATCGTCCGGAAACCATGAGGTGGACAAACAGACCGATCAACCAACCCACCGCAAGCTGACTCTTATATACCCCTCCTAAAATTTGTTTGTGAGGGTATAATCAAATGAAGAGGGTCACCCAAGATATGTTCTTACCAAATATGAAAGACATCTGTCAATAAATAAAGGCTGTATGAGCAAGAGTAAGAATCAATGCATGACTTAAATTTTGCAGTGATTAAATGAATGCAAAGAATCACTATAAAGGATTGCACCAGAACAGTGAAGAATCCCTTATTTAGAATTTGTTTTTTGTAACTTTCAATTGACCCCAATTTTTTTCCGTTTACAATGGTTCTGTTATCATATTCTAACAACATGCCAAGTTTCAAGAAATTCTATTGTACAGTTTTAATTTTGCCTATATGTCTATATGAAAACTCCCGAAAACGTCCTTAAGCAATTAAGTCAATTGACTACCATATTATCACTCAAGGTGAGCTTCATCAAAATCAATTAGGGGGTTAAAGACAAGATGATATTTAACACTTTTTGTCTATTTCAAGCACTGGCCACCATCCTGTTCAACAGACCAGAACCATTTGAGCAAATTTTATAAAGCCCAATCTAAGACTCCTTCCTGTATAGAGTTAGGGTTAGGTCATCAAAATCTACCAAAACAGTTAAGGAAAAGATGTTTTTTTCCTATTTATAGCTCCAGAGGCCATCTTGTTCAGCACAGCAGATGTATTTGAGCAATTTTTGGAGGGGGCCATCCAACGATCATTCCTGTACATACACTTTCATCACTATTGGGGATGGGGTTTAAGTGACATTATGCCCATCCAAGGGTAAATAGTGAGTGAACAGGTGAATATCAAAATAAGTTTTCATTTTGCCATAATTCCTTTTAATTTAATAATTTACTTCCCATAAACAATAACTAATGCAGACCCAAATAAAATTTCTGTACATATCTATCACAATTTACCTATAACGCTAAGTTTATAAAAAGAGTGGGGTAGTCTTTTTATATTTAAGGCAGATTTATAATTTTATCCTGAACATTTTCTGATATCAACTGTTGGTCAAACATCATTTTAACAGTCAATCTTTTGAAATATAAAGTCAATTCATCTCAACTTGACTATGAAAATATGAGCATGATGTCACTTTAAGGAGATGTGGTTTAAGAATTCTGACTAATGACAGACACCGGACACAAGGGTATCACAATAGCACCTTGTGCAAACGTGAGCATAAAATCAAAATTTAGATTCAGACTCATTTTTAAGCTGGGAGCTACCTGATTACAAAAAGTTATATTCCTGACTGGCTGAAATTCTCGGTTAATTTCTCTTATGTTCCTATTTACCTGAGATTTTATTGGTTGTAATCGGTTGACGCAATGATGTAAAAGCTGATCCCTGATATATGTCACTGGTCCCTGCTGATAAGCTATCTAGAGAAAGCCGTGTAGGTAGTGTTTTGAGCTTCGGAGAACAACTTGACCTTAAATAGTAAATTGAGCCGTGTCATGACAAAACCAACATAATGGTTTTGCGACCAGCATGGATCCAGACCAGCCTGCGCATCCGCGCAGCACAGTCTGATCAGGATCCATGCTGTCAGCTATCAGTTTCTCTACTTGTAATAGGGTTTGTAAGCGAACAGCATGGATCCTGATCAGGCTGGTCTGGATCCATGCTGGTCGCAAACCCATTATGTTGGATTTGTCGTGACGCGGCTTTAATGTTTCATATTACTGGGACAGATTATATGTTTAATACAACATAGCAACTGACAAGTTTTCAGTCATTCAAAGGCACGAGCCGGGACGGCAAGTGAAAATATGTGGCATTTTATCAAGTTTGGTGAAAATATATTCCATATTTCACCAAAAATGAAAATAATGACCTTTTTTATTTAATTTTCATTATCAAAGAAAAATGATCCCCTGGCTTGCTAAGCAACTGCAATTGTACAGATCAGTAAAATACTGATTACGCAAACAATTTTTGTGAGTTTATTTTATTTCACTAACTAAATACGGAGTATTTATGGTGAAATAAATGCAAACGGCCTTGTTTTGACTGTTTTTGCACGTGCTGTTTGGCGCTACATGGTGATATGAAATATATTTGACTGATATAGCACAATATTTCATGGCAAAAATTAAATAAAATAGTATAATGTTAATTTAAATAATTATCACAATTTATCCTAAAGTATATTTCGTGCAGAACCAGCTAGTAACCTTTAATCTTTGTTTGTCGATTCATTATACTTCTTTCACTCTTCACCATTATCAAGAGTTTGACATGCTTTACAGATTATAATTCTAATAGGTATCAAGATAATTGGTTATAATTACTAATTGGAAGATACTGACATTTTGAAGATATTACAATCACAAGTATCACTTTCATTTTCACGGATTTTGGAAGTAAATTTCAATTGATATTAACCCAAAATTTACCAGAAAATCGTTCAGAATTCAGAAATTTAGAAGTTTCGTACTACAAATTTTTTTAATTATATAACAAACAGGAGAAATTTCGAGACCCTGTAAATGTTCAGATTTCCGAAGTTTCCGGATTTTAGAAGTTCCAGAATTTGGAAGTTACACTGTAGGAATGATGAAACCATCGAATAGAAACAAGAGGGCAATAATGGCCCTTATAATATCGTATATATTTGATCCAGATTGACACTAAATTTTTCTAATCATGTTACCTGAACAGTATAGATTATCTAATTGTTAAATTCACTACACACTCTGAAACATAGATTGTTTAATAACATACCTGTAATTAAAAGAGATTTCTGAGTCCAAACTGTCGGCAGTTTTAAGATTAGCTTTGGATTTCCTTCGCTTTGGCACTGATGTTATAATCTTATTTTCTTCTGAACTTGGTGAGAGGGAACCAGCTCTTTCAGTGGTCCTTGTTCTTTTACGTCTCTGTTTCACATTTAGTTTTTCTTTCTTACCTAACTTCTCCACGTGTCTATCAAGAGATGACGCTAACGATAACCTACTATTGTTCCGCTTTTTCTCCCGATAGTTTGGTTTAGGCACATTGGCGTTCATTCGTGGAGAACACCTCAAAGTTGCAGATTCAATACTTTTCCTTCTTTCAAGATTTTGTTTACCCTTCAGTAAGGATATTTCAAAAGCACTCATTTGACCTTTAAACGGACTGAGGTCATTCACTTCTTGCAGCTTTTTCGAATAGATTTCTTTTAGATTGTCTGTATTAAGGCCATTAGTCACGTGGTTCAAGTTCTGATCAAGCACCTTTATCAGAGAGCTGTCTACTTTATTTGAGCTATCAAATAAACTGGGATTTGACTGTTCACGTTGTGTTGAATTCCCCTTTAGCTTCTCTTTACCTTTTTGTTTATTGGTGAAGAACTCTTCCTTACTTTCAAGTTTTTCTTTTTGCGTTAACATCTTCTCATTCTCTAGTCTACTTGCCCGTCTTGCCTCAATAATTTCCCGAGCATCGTGTACCCCTGTAGAGAAGCGTATCAAACCATTAGGTCCGTCAACTTGACTCGATACCTTATCATTCAAAGAATTCATTTTTCTTCTTTTAGGTCGGGTGTCTGCCACTTCATCCTCTTCACGCTTCCTTTTCAAACGTCTTTCCCTCATTTTTATTGTACTGTCCTTTGGAATGGATGCCAAGTTTTTCTCAACTTTTTTCTGTGACAGAGCTTTCAATTTTGCTTTTTCATACGTGAAATGAGTTCCGTTTAAAGGATATCGTTCACATTGTGAATGGTTATTTCCCGGAGATAAACTCTTGTCTGACCTAAATAAAATTTAAAAGATTATCAATTGTTAATAACTGACTTTTAACAAAACAAGAGGGCCATGATGGCCCTGAAATTGCTCAACTGTATATAGGCCCCAGGGGCAGGGCCAATTTTAACCTAGGGGCTTTTATTCGAACAAACTTGGTAGACACCCATTTGAAGATGTTTCATGACAAATATCTAAGTTCTAGCTGTTACAAGATTTTTTAAGTTTTTACTATACACATATAGGGAAAATTAATGAAATCCCCCTCTCTGGGCGAAGCCAATTTTGTCCCCAGGGCTTTTATTTGAACAATATTGGTAGTCACTCACTAGAAGATAGTTCATGCTTAATATCTAAACTCTAGCTCTTTGGGTTTTTTAAATGAAGATTTTTTAAGTTTTTACTATATACATATAAGGAAAATCGATGATCCCAGGGGCGGGGCCAATTTTGACCCCAGGGCTTTTATTTTACCAAACTTGGTAGACATCCACTAGAAGATTTGTGATGCTTAATATCTAAGCTCTAGCTATTTGGGCTTTTTAAAAGAAGATTTTTTAAGTTTTTACTATATACAAATAAGGAAAATCAATGACCCCCCGGGGCGGGGCCAATTTTAACTCCAGGGCATTTATTTTAACAAACTTGGTAGACACTGACTAAATGATGTTTCATGCCAAATATTTTAGCTCTAGCTCTTACGGTTTTCTCAAAGTAGATATTTTTAGTTTTTTCTTTTGTTGCCATTGCAACCAGAGTTCTGCTTAGAATTAAATTCTTTGAACAATTTTTAAAGTTGACTACCAAAGGAACATTCCTGTGAAGTTTGGATGAAATTGGCTTAGCGGTTTATGAGGAGATGTTGTTTAAAGTAAAAGTTTACGGACAGGCGACATACGAAAAGCAATCACAAAAGCTCACCATGTCACTTTGTGACAGGTGAGCTAAAAAAACTGAACTTTTAAGAGACAAGTCAACCTTTAATATATACACAGTAATTTGTCTGCCCCTGCAACAACAAAAATGCTTTTCATATTCTCCAATAATGATAATAAAAGAAGTTCTGGTTAATTTTTAGTAATCAGCAAGGTTGTCATTAACATTTCTTGTTGTCATTAACATTTCTTGAAAAAGGTTTTTTAGAGTTGTTTTCTTTAATTTGATGCGGTCATTTTTGTTTTCATCATTTAACAAAGAGTGTTTTCTTAATTTTGAGCCAAGCCAAAATGCATCTGAGACAGTCATTCAGGCCTTTGGCAGCCTCTATAATGACCGCATGCAGCCAAAATTATAAATGTTATAATAATATTCAGTTCCAAATTTGTTTGCACACACCGTTTTTTCATTCTATGTTCAAGGCCCTCAAACAACTCAATGTTTACACGTACCATTTTTTTAAATATTCAGTGCTAACCTTTTCCAAATTGCATATCTGTAGTCGAGATAATGATTAGAAATTGTGATTTTTTTTATGTTATCCAAGTTCAAGGGGGGTATCTGTCAAAACAAACTTTTTGAAGTCAAGGCCCCTGTGACCTTGACCTTTGACCTGGTGACCTCAAAATCAATAGGGGTCATCTACTAATCATGACTAACCACCATGCCTGATATGAAGACTATGGGGTGTAGGAATCTTAAGTTATTGGGCGGACAAGAAAAAACCGGCGGACAGCTGGACGGACTAATAATATCTGTCATATGTTGCGGTTCGGACCGGAATATCCGTCCCGAGGGGACCCGCCCATTGAGCGGTAACTAGGCTTGCCTAGTTACCGTCCATGGGCGGGTTCCCGAGGGACGGATATTCCGATCCTAACCGCAAACATATGAAAGATATATTTTCTTGCATATTCTGCCATATTATTTCATATTTAAAATGGTTTACCTCAATATGATATATGTTCATGGAAATTAAAGTCATTTCATCCATAACTATTTTCTTACAATAGCGTATGAACTTACAACTTAAATAACAACGGCGAAATGAAGTCATCCTAAGACATATTTCCCTTCTAAAACGACGTCATTTTAACGCGGTTCATTCATAAATGGCGCTAAAATGACGTTGTTGTTTGGCACGCGACTCATCTGGCACCCCCCATGCCAGATGAAATTTCCGGCATGGGTAAAACTCACGGAAACGCCAGTTTGCTATGCAAGAAAAGCTGATTCCAGTATAACCCCCTTACAACTTTGTTGTGCGGGGGTATAAAAACATCTGACCATGACCAAATTAGAACTTCACTTTGTGTTTCTGGTAAAATACCAGCACATGCAATTACTTTGCTTACATTTATGACTGTTTCTCACTGAAGATAAGTTTGCAGATTTGATCAATAATTGCTTGAAGATGTTCTGATGAAAATATTACGGACAACCAGTTTTTCTTGAATTGGTTGCCCGAATGACAACAATTTTTAAACCCTAATTTCACAGACTGCTATATGCCCCTGCCATTTTATGACAGCATCATTAAACATTTACATCTAAAAAAAATTCCGACACAAATTTTGGATGGGTCAGACAAAAGCAGCAAACAAACAATCTTTCAATTTAGGCCCAGGAAGAATGCAAATGTATGCTGTAATAACTAAAATACAAATGCTTAAAAAACCTAAACTATATGGAAGTGAAAATCAGTTTGGACATTTAAAAAATGCATGCCTTGCTTTCCTAATAGACAAAAAATATAAACAATATTTCAAGCAGAAAAGCATTGAAAATTGACGTTTGTAACTCTTATTCAATACATTATCTAGTAATTTCAAAATGCTATGTACCATGAGCATGTTGGCAGGTAATTGGCTTAAACCAGTCTGATGCAGATAATTTGTCCGGCCTACTGTACTGTAGGCGGAGCATAGTGAATTAGCAAAGTGATTTTTTGCCTTGTTTGTTAGGCCTAAAAAAAAATATTGTTTTGTTAGGGTAACATGCTCTCAAGGAATAGGTAGGGTAGGTCGGATTTTTTTTTTTTTTCTTTTTTTTTTTTTTTTTTTTCACCAGTATTTTGAAATGTAGATATGGACATTTCTGACATCCCTCCCGGGTGGCACAAATACATCCCTTCTATGTTTACAAAAGACATTTCAGGTGTAACAATCTTAAACTCTTGGTGTTCTTCTGGTGAAGATCACACGCCGTTTTACAAATATTGACGATGTGATCCGCCAAATCGGCAGAAAGGAAACATCCCAATATGTATGCATTAACATGCATGGCTATACATCCTTTAACTAGAATAGAAACACAATCTATTTATCAGCTATTTATAAGCTTTCTCTAAATATTTGTTTATATATATTCATGTAGATTTATTGATAATAATGTGTAAGAAAAAATATGATGAAAATTTTATTAACTTTATATTTTTACTTTCCTCACTTTTAACAGAAGATATAGTTACATTGGATAATGATTAATAAAATCTGTCTATCCTGTTCTGTTTACAGAAGTTTCTTTTATGATCTTCTGGTGTTTGTAATGTCACATTTATGTGCATATAATTATGCTTATAAAACAATTTTCAAATATCGAAGAATATGTAAAATTTGTACTGCAAACATTTGTGCACATTATATTTGATCACTTAAATTATATTCATTCATTTCTTATTGAAAAATTCAACTGAGAAATTATAGAAAATAAATTTCTAATTACCTCCCTTTATTTTCATGAAATGTTAAACTCGGTAATATCTTTATAAATAAGGCTTTTTGAAAATTACAATATTAATAAATCTTAATCTGAGCGTCATATTTATGACATTAAAACAAATATATATATTGAAACAATAAGAACAATTCTTTCCTGACAAATTTTTTGTTATATACATGAGCACATGATATACCCGATCGCATTCGTAGTTTTAGGATGTCGTGCCCATGTGCGTACAAGCTGTGTCAAATTTGGCATTTCTACAAAGATAACAATGCAAAACACTCTCACTTTCTACAACATACCAATCAGGCCATCCTTAAAAAAATGTTTGTTTGCAGTAACCCGACCCAGAATTTTCAAGGTGGGTAGGTAGGTCGATTTTTTTTTTTTTTTTTTTTTATTGAACTGTTCTCCCAAATGAACATGGAATTTCAAAATGCTGGACAATGTATGCTTTGATAATCTGGTAACAATTAATAAATTAATAATGAATTCTAATTTAATAAGAACTACATTTTATTTCTTCTATTATCTTTTAAAAGAACGAAAACAAAGCACAAGGCGTAACTTTCTGATTTAAAAAAAAAAAAATTATCCAGACCGTGAAAAAAAAATTTGAGTAGGGGCAAATTTTGTGAGTCGGTCGCGTTACTGCAAACAAACATTTTTTTAAGGATGGCCTCATATAAAGATTTTTGCGAATTGGCTTTCTTAAGTTTTCGCGTGTATTAGGTGTATCAGAATCAGTAACTTTTTTTTTACTGCTAGGTTTGGGCATTTCACCCTAAGCCATGACGTGAGCCAGTGTTTCTGCCAGCTCTGATTTTCTGAGGGTCTTTTATGACCCCCTGTATGATATTTTAGGGGTCATTTCAAATTCATAAGGGTCATGCCAATAAATTTAACAAAAATGTAAAAAAAAAAACAGGTAACACTTTATAAGTTTTATTTACAATATTTTGTATATTTTTCGTGAAGAAATTGGTCAATCTCTGCTATTTTGGATTATTTGTCATCCAATAATAACGCTGTATTTCTTAAAAATTATGTGTGTTAATTTCATAGAAGAAAGAAAGTCGATACTATATTGAATTCGTTTCATAGTCGCCTTCTATTTTTCATAGTGCTTCATAGTACCGCCTAGTGACGTAATCAAGGGCCAAATAAAGCTTGACACTAAATATGTTTAGTGTTCATCCTTAGCTGTTTTACAGAAATTAGAAACATTCTCCTGTCGCTATCGCTCCCTTCGAAGTTTCTAATTTCTGTAGAACAGCACAGATGAACACTTACATATACGCAGACTGCATTTTCCAGCAGACAGTTATTCGTTCGCAGAATATGACGACAACAAAATAAATAATTTTGTCTGGGCGCTTTCAATATATGCAGTAACGTATAAATGCAAGCGTTTATTAACTAGTTGAAATTGGCTAAATGCCGGACCACAGACCCGGTAAATTTCATTTCTCATTAAAATTATAGTGGAGCCCACGGTAAACATTCCGTACATTTTTATACTGAATTGACGGTTTATAGTCTGTATATCTGACTTGTGTTGAAATCAGCGACGGTGAAATTCTTGCGTCACAAAATACGCACTAACTAAATTTCATTGCGTCATGGCTGAAAATAGTGCGCCAAAAACGCGCTCTGGCAGAAACACTGCGTGAGCGACATTACAATTTTTAATTGATGTCATCCAAATGAAATTAATCATTTTTAATTGACTAACAGTTTTGTGATAGCCGTGAAAAACCCATTGCACAGGTTAAACACCGCGTGTATATCAATTAGGGAAGATTTGCACGTGTTTAGATGATCGGAAAAAATTATTCTATAATTATCGCCAAATCCCGTATTAAACTCGCAAAATATACCCGTTTCGGGCTGATGATCTCATTATTTACTGCTTAGAGTAGGCTGTCTATCGCTTTGCATACAGGTAGAAGGGTAGTATATAGCGACGCACTGATTGGATAATGATAATTGGCAGTCATCATATGGGCGGATACAATCTCTGCTCTTTACATCGACAAGTAATTACTCTTTGGGAATTAAGATTTTATCGGCGATGTTGACTTCTCTTTGATCAATTGAGAGAGCGAAATGGAAATATACACAGCGAAATTTTCGCCTGAATTGCCCTTCCGGGTGAGCAGCCGTACCGTACCTCCAATAATACTGTATTTTCATCAATTTTTTTTTTTTCTTTCTTTTTTTTTTTTTTGGACACGAAAAAAAACGGTAGGGTCGGCACATATTATTAGGTAGGGTCGGGTGACCCGAACAAAACTATATTTTTTTTTAGGCCTTAGATAGGATTTGCCATGTTTAAACTACTTTCTTTTTAACAGTTCACAACATTTAACTTTGAAAATACATTTTCAAAATTGTCATGAAAATTAGCATGAATCTTGAGGCAAACTGTTTAAAGATACTAAGAATTATAAGGCCGCCCTTAAAAAAATGTTTGTTTGCAGTAACCCGACCCAGAATTTTTAAGGTGGGTAGGTAGGTCATTTTTTTTTTTTTTTATTGAACAATAATGCTGGACAATATATGCTTTGATAATCTGGTAACAATTAATAAATTGACAACTGAATTCTAATTTAATAAGAACTACCTTTTATTTCTTCTATTAACCTTAAAGCGTAATTTTCTGATTTAAAAAAAAAATAAAATTTTATCCAGACCACGGAAAAAAAATTTGAGTAGGGGCAAATTTTGTGAGTTGGTCGCGTTTCTGCAAACAAACATTTTTTTAAGGATGGCCTAAGGGTTAAAATCACAGCGCAACAACGAGTGTATCTTACTTGGCTGGGGAGTTATCAGGCTCTGAATTCCATGACTTCATTTTCTGCAGCATGCCTCCCATTGAAGTATCATGTTCAGATTTTTGGTTAATCTTGATGCAATACTCTTCCTCCAGTGTCTTCACAAACTCGTCTTGATAGTTTGTCCCCTGGTGATACAATCTAGTAGTGCCAGCCATATTTCATCAATCTAAGGTAAATGAAAGAGTTTCAAATACAATAATCACTGTTTGAAACTTGAGACAACATAATTGTCACCTCAGTGCCATATTTCATCAATCTAAGGTAAATGAAAGAGTTTCAATTACAATAATCACTGTTTGAAACTTGAGACAACATAATTGTCACCTCAGTGCCATATTTCATCAATCTAAGGTACAGTAAATGAAAGAGTTTCAAATACAATAATCACTGTTTGAAACTTGAGACAACATAATTGTCACCGCAGTGCCATATTTCATCAATCTAAGGTAAATGAAAGAGTTTCAAATACAATAATCACTGTTTGAAACTTGAGACAACATAATTGTCACCTCAGTGCAATAACTGGATAACTCTTATAATATTTAGCAGACTTCTCGAAATCAGTGATGCATCTAGGCCGCGAGATTGCTAGATTCAGACTTCCCGAAAGTTGAAAAAAACTGTCAGACATTCGGTCTGACAAACCACGAAAATCTGTCGGACCGAAACAAAACTGTCGGACCAAATAAAATTGATCAAAATCAAAGAAAAACAGTACTTGTGTTTGTATTTCTAAGACACTTTTTGTTTTTTATTTTTTTCGCCGTAAAAATCGGCACAATCCAGGGTTTTTTTTGCTATATAACTGTAGCCGTTTAACGGCTACTTCCCCAGCTGAAAAAAAGTTCCCCTTGAGCTAAAAAATTCCCCTTGGTCTGAATAAAATCAACTATTATGGCTTGCTTGTTTAAAAAATCACATTTTTGTTCAAATAGTTCAAATTTTTATAGGCCTACAGTGATATTACCGATTGTCCTGCAAGTAAAAAGTCCAAATGCCGACGATGGGCAATCCTCTCCATTACGCTGATCATATCTTTAAACATTCTGTCTTTGTGAAAATTGTCCTCAAAATATGCAGACATTTGTAAATATATGTTATATTATTTATTGTTATAGATTTCAATCATAGTCTGGAGGAATATGGAGTTATATTAATACCAAAAATCGGCAAAATATTCTATTATCACATATTTTCGCGACCTACTTCCTGTTTGATTTTCGGCTTGAATTTGGAGAGGAATGTGCTAGATTATGTAAATAAATTACAAAACATAAAAAGTCAATTGATTTTTGTGCATTAAGTGTCAAAATGTCCTTTGAGAATCATCATCTAACTAATTTAGCACTTAATGCAGTTTTAACATAGAATTATCAAAGCAACCATTCTGAAATAAATAGGGGAGGTGTGTGAGGTGGTTACAACAATGTTGAAGCTTGGCAACATCACACATGATATTGACTCAAGTGATTCCAACTAAAAAAAAAGTTTTGTATGTTCAAGGAATTCAAAGCCAAAGATCTGAACTGTTTTCATTGTTTATGACTCACCTGACTTTTAGGGCATGTGTTTATTGTTAATTTTAAAGTTATTAACTCATTTTTTTATGTAATAGATTTTCCCCAAAATGTCATTTTATCGCGCATTTTTTCCCCAACTGAAAGGCCAGGCCGTTTCTCCAAAATTGAAAAAAAAGCCCTGCTGAATCCGTACAGCGCATTTTCATCTCCTCTCTGTCATACACCAATGATTCATGGTTCTGCTTCCATTTTTCATTAAATTTTGTCTCAGGTCTATTCTTTTCATCTTTTTATTGCTGTTCTGCGCACTCTTCTGACGTAGATTTTCGGTTTTTCTCAGGTTTGGCACCTTTAGCGATGCCATTTTGTATACATGCGGCTTGGATAAAAACCGGACATTCTGACCGATCCGGAATAAAAAATTGTCGGACCTGATCAAAATTTATCGGACATGTCCGTCGGACCGACGTATTTCGGGAAGTCTGGAGATTTGCCTTTTTTTATGCAGATCGCGCATTTTAATGAAGTCAATGCGTGCCAAGTCGCGCATCTGATGATCTTTTCAACTTAATTCAGTTTATCTACATCGTATCTTGGACGCTTCATTCACTCGTGGTGATGACTAAAATACATACTAAATCACCTGTAGCAGCCAACTGGGTCATCTCCCGTATGTTTTGAAGTATTTGTCAATACTTTATTTTTTCTACTTTCGTTTTTGAGCGGAAGATAGCTGTCAAAAATGCCTGAACGTAAAATAAATGAATTATTTTTGGTATTTAATATTGTAAGGTAAATGTATGTCCCCCACATTTTTTTCAAATCCCCCACATTTTTCAGTTGAGTTGGGGACAATCCCCCATAATTTTGAAATTCTAGATGCAACGCTGGAAATCAGACTTCCCGAAAGTTGAAAAAAACTGTCAGACATTCGGTCTGACAAACCATGAAAATCTGTCGGACCGAAACGAAATCTGTCGGACCAAATAAAATTGATCAAAATCAAAGAATAACGTGTGTTTGTATTTCTAAGACACTTTTTGTTTTTAAATTTTTTGCCGTAAAAATCGGCACATTCCTTACAGCGCATTTTCATCTCCTCCCTATCATACACCAACGATTCACTGTCTTGCTTCTAATTTTCATTAAATTTTGTCTCAGGTCTATTCTTTTTATCCTTTTACTACTGTTCTGCGCGTTCCTCTGACGTAGATAAGGTTTGGCACCTTTAGCGAGGCCATTTTGTATACATGCGGCTTGGATAAAAGCCGGACAGTCGGACCGATGCGGAATAAAAACTCGTCGGACCTGATCAAAATTTATCGGACATGTCCGTCGGACCGACGTATTTCGGGAAGTTGTATACAAAATGGCGTCACTAAAGGTGCCAAACCTTGGAAAAAACAAAAATCTGCATCAGAGATCAGTGTGCAGAACAGCTGTAAAAGGATGAAAAGAATAGACCTGAGACAAAATTTAATGAAAAATGGAAGCAATACCATTAATCGTTTGTGTATGGCAGGGAGGAAATGAAAATGCGCTGTACGGACTGTGCCGATTCATTGTATGTTACAAACACATACTGGTAATGGCTCCATCTCAACTAATGTAAACAATATCTTTAGTAAATTTAATTCCTAAACTATATTTTAAGTGTTATTACACACATTTTAACAAAACATATCTTCCTTTTGGTTACGATTTTTTTAATCATAAAAAGCGGCATCGCGAAATTATGTGATAATTGAAAATTTGTCTATTTCCTGCAGAAACATTCACAATTCTACTTGTTGTTGATTTTGATCATATTAGATTAAATATTTTTTGATTATTTTAAGATTGTTAGTCATCGGCTATTTCAACAGGCATCGTAAAACAAAATTTTCACATTTGTAATTTTCTTACCCAAAAATTTTCGTATCGAAAATCAAAAAAAAGTTTAGGGTTGGCGTTGAAAAAAAAGGGTCCGTCGGGTTCCCTGAACCAGACATATTTTCTATTTTGGCCTTAGTGATATGAAAGATATATTAACAATGGAATGGAGAAAAAAAATGAATTTGATTTGTACAATTTTTACAATGCTTCGTCATGATACTGAAATTATCCAAAACTCCCATTCTCATATTCAGTTTAGATGAATTTCATTTTCCTTAATATGTTATCTATAGTATAACGCATTATTCTGTTTTATCTGTAGAAAATTTGAAGACATAAAATATCAAATGAACAAATCCTACTATAAATTCGAATTTCTGACCGATTAAGCATACATATTGTCTTTTTTGTCCTCATTTATTTGTATAATGATTCAGAACTATCAATTTGTTGTTGCATTGTCATACTGTTATTTTTATATTTGTTTATGTAAATGATACACTTGCTGGTGATATATTCAAACCGAAAGTTGAACTTCAAAAAACATCTCGATTTGATTTGCTGATTTTTTAAGTGCAGTTTAATCGAGTAAATGCTCTTGATGTCAACAATATGCCCACCCCAAAAACCAGGGACTCACAGTTTCAAACCCTGAAATTGCTGAGTTATTATCATATAGTTACTATATATTGATAGTTTTAATTTGAAAGTAAATTTACAAAAAAATCTCCGAAATAGAACGTACTTAAATGTTTAAAAAAAAATCAGAGTGACATTGGAAATTTGTCATCGAGCGGGTCAAATTACTAGAATATATTCTGTTTAAGTTGACATTCCAAAACAAGTGCTACACAAATATGTTGTTTATAATTTATGTACTATGCCCACAGTAAGCTTTTAATGGTAAAAGCAATGCAAAATATTACCAAAAACATTTACTGTCATCAGATTGATATAACTTGAACACAATTTGGTATAACCAAATTCCTACCAGACAGGACTTCCTACTCAGAAAATTCATGCGTCCAAAAGATGCACATTATTTGAAACTTTGCATCCACAGCAAATTCATTGCTTTCTGGACGCAGGACCAGGGCCTTTCCACTAGTTTTGGGGAAGGCGCCCTAGCCCTTTTTGTGGGGAAAAAAATGCGCGGTTTTCGTTCTTTTGGGGAAAAAATCATATTTTCCACTGGCAGTTTAACCATTATTACTATTAATAAAGACTTACTTAAATTATACATTTGGAGGAAATATAATATATATTTCAAACACACTTATTTTAGGAGCTTTCTGTCCAACATAAGTTAAAGGGATTTTTTTACAGATCAATTTATTGCCACTTTTTATTTGCCCAAGAATACATTGACTCATATTTCCTTATTATAGAAAATTTACTTAGGACATGTGAGGGTTCTTGATTTGATTCAGAGGGAACATTATTATCAGTTCCCACAGTATCACTATTACTTGCACTGTTGTGCTAGACTCGCTATTTCCCACACTTGGGCATGTTGTGCTACTAGGACACACAAACTTGCTAGTGGATACATGTATTGGATTCTCTTGCACTTACAGGAAGTCAACAATTTTTCCAATTTTTCATAAACAATTACAAATGTCACTCAATTGTATTTTCTTCTTGTTCTGTGACATTGTTTACATTTGCGACATTGTAAATCGGTCGCCGTATTGTAAAAAAATCACATGTGCACTAAAAAAATAACTTTAAGTGGGGTTTTCCCATGTTCAATTGTATAAAATCGAGGTAGCCCTCTAGTGGGTAATTGAATAATTAGCTTTCATTGGACAAAAAACAATGATCTATTTAAATTTTTAAGCAAGAAAGTTTGTTTACAAGTTTTTTTCTTCGATTAAACATTTATCCGAAAGGGAAAATCTTCGCAAGAAGGGGAGTTTTAGACTGTTTTTTGGGGAAAAAAGGTAGTAAGTTGGCATGGGGAAGCAGCCGAATACCGGCTACAGCAAAGAAGGGTAAAAAGGCCCTGAGGACGCAGAGGTAAAAATCACTGGTCTTGGGGTAAATAGACCGACCGGCCTGCTCATGCCCGATTATACGGGGAAGTCAAAGACCGGGCCCGCGAAGCGGGTCCGGGCTTTGGCTTGCCCGGCCTTAGACTACACGTGTATATTTAAAAGAAAATCAAATAAAAAGCAATTAAAAAATATATAGAATTCTATACCTATCAATGAAATTTTCAGTGTCAGTTCTAGTCGGGCGCCGCCATTTACAATGTAACTCAATGATAATAGGCGGGGTATTCCGATAACGGAACAAATCTCAACTTTTCGGATAAATAATAAACGTCGAGTGTTCCGAGTGAAAACGGAAGCGGTGCATGTAATACCGAATGACACCTTTAAAACGGAAAGAATGAAAGGAATTTTTAACGACTTCCCCATGCATAGGCTTTGCCTAATTTCATATTAATAGTAATAATAAAAAGTTGCGACAATAATACTGAGTTATCTCAGGGTTGTCATTAAGAGGCGGCAGGAGGCCAAAATGCCTGTCTCAAATGCATTATGGGCCGCCTCAAAACTAAGAAAACACTCTTTGTTATGCATGATAAAGACAGAAATGACCGCCTCAAGTTCAAAACAAACCTTCTGCAAAAAATGTTAATGACAACCCTGTATCTAGAGTATAATGCATGGAGAGAGCTCAGAATGTTCCTCCTCCAAAAAAGATGGACATTTGCCAAACATACAGGACCTTTCGGCCCCAAACCTAATCAGCCCGAGCAAAAAAATCGGCTCCTAGACGTAAAGGGCAAAAATGTCCAGGGCTCAAACATTTTGGGTAATTTGGGGCCAAAACGTCTAGGGCCTAAATGACTCAAAAACATTTGCAACATAAATGAAAGTAAGTCCTATGAATGACACCAAGTCCAAAGTATTTTAGTTTGAGTTTGAAGTTCTTACAATTCATTTGAGATTTCCGATAGCTTTTTTCAGATATGATGTTTTCAATAATGACTTTTAATGTCTAAAAGGACAGTTTTCTGTATTGAGGACAAAATATCACTGTCTAAAAATGTTTTGTAAAGTTCATTTATGCCAGGTTAGGCCTTTGCCCTACGATGATACGAGAAAACTGGATACACGAGTTTTGCAATTTGACTGGAAATTATAAATTTAATAATAGATAATGACGTGACGATGACAATAATGAACATGTACATCCAATAATTCAGTTTCTGAACACATTTTTCTAATAGTTTGCCGCCGGTATGTAACTATAATTTAACAGGTAGAGGAAATCACTTAAAACAATTTACCTCCGGAAATTTGTTTTCCCGCCATCATAATTTTTCAATGAAGCCAACACAAATTTTATTTTCTGGCAAGATTTGCTCGATAAGAGAACATCTGGGCAATAAATGAATTATGAAGAAACATTATACGTTTTTTTCATGCAAGTAAAATAACAAATAATTCAGTAAAAGGCGTGATCTAGTTACATTTTGCTTTTTTTTCTCTGTAAAACCCACCTGTTTTCATTTTAACACCGGTGAACACGGATATATTTCACATCGTGAAAATTATTGTTAGCTGGCTGGCTATCCACCACTAAAATTGTGTACGCACATGTATGTCTTCAGACATCTATAGATGAAAAACTAAAAATGTTCAAAAGCGACTTATAAAGTTTTGGAAGCCAGAACTAGGTCATACTAAATTATTGAATTACACATATAGTAGACCAAACTCCTCACAGTGATTACCTCCCTACGCCGAAGAATTAAGGGGAGATCACTGCGTGGAGATTGATAGCAGACATGTGAAAAACGGGGGTCACATTCATAAAGAATCTTAAGTTTTAAGGGAAGAAAATCCTAAGTCCAATAATTTGCTTAAGGTAAAATTTTCCTTAAAAAGTTTCCTTAAATGTCACCTTAAAGGTTAAGGTAGCGTAGAAGTTAAGGAGAAATCCTACAAAAGTTAAGGGAATCTTGACTTATGGATTTTTATGAATAAGACCACAGATTTATACCCCGGGCCCTAGAAACATAGATTAAAATCGAGTATTAAAGATGAGAACTTTCTTCGTGAACAATCATCTAAAAGTGTCTGACCATTGTTCTATTCGCAAATTGTCTTCAAAAGCCCCTGAACAGACTTGCTTTAAATAACATGATGTGACAAACATTTAAAGAAGTTCTCAGCAGCTTAATTTAAATTTTCTAGTTTTTTTTTTTATTAATTGAAAAGCAATTGAAACCGCAAAATGTCGCTATCGCTTGTCCAATTAAAACTTGAGATTGATGAAAAATAATCCATTTTGCAACAAGTTTTTGCCTAAAATCAATAGAGTATTGATAATTGATTAAGACAGACAACAGAAGTTCGAGAAAAAGACTCTTATTGTCCACAAATTGTTTTAAATGCTGCATGCATTCTCCGAATTGCAACTATGGTACCATAACGATTTTAAACTGGAATGTAACAATCTTGAGATGTGTTATATTCTTTTAAATTTGTACTCATAACAATATCAAAAGACTACATTTGGAATAAAATTGATAAATTAGACTCATGCAGTGAAACAATTTTAACACAAACCTATGGAACGCCTGGACTGTCTTATGTTAAGAATGAATTATATACCTGGTTAAATGTGTTTCTGTTGAGTCCGAGATACAAAATGCTGGGTGGAAATCATAATGTGCTCAGTTATTGAAGTGCTATGTTGTGTGCTGACTGTATTTTATTCTGTCAAATCAATGTATTATCGGGTGCATAAGTCGTTATGGTTCAGTTCTTAAAACAAACAGGCATGTGGAAACACAATTATGTTGAGTTTAAAAAGATATGTTGTAGGGTGTTACAGTTATTATGTTCGGTTATATATATATGCTGTTTTTGTGCTCTTCTCATCATGTTCAACCATGAAAATAAACAGTTGAGTGGTACTATCATTTTGTTTGGTTGAGGCAGTGTATTATTGAGTGATACTTTTATTATTTTCAGTTGCAATGACATGCTGTTGGGTGCTTTTTTTCCTTCTTGTTCAGTCGTGAAATAGAACTGTTAAAATGGTACA